TCATCTCGCTTTGCATCGTCGCCATGTCGGATTGGACAGCCTTCAGCGCGGCTAATACTCTTCCCTCCTCTCTCTTTTCCTTGTTTTTTTCAGATGTCATCTCCACTGTTGATATGCTTGCTGACTTTCTGCCCGAAAAACTGAATTTGTTTACTCTCTCGGTTTCTGCGGACATAGCCATGTTCATGGCTTCAATCAAATCTTCATCGGTGACCAGAGGATTCTGGAGGGTTGGTCTCATCTTTGCTCGGATTGTCTCATCAATAAGCCCTGTCTCAAGGGCATGCAGAAATAATCCTTGCACTGAGCTCTGATCATAGGTTATATTATTTCCAGACTCTTTTGAGGCAAAAATGATCTTTTGGCGAATGGTCAGAGTTCGAATGAGGAAAGATTGTGGATCCTCTTTTGGTTGTTGAGTAATGTTGGCTAACATTTGATAGAGTTCAGTTGCACTCTTCTCATGATAATGGAACCGAATAATTTTCCTTAGCCTGGGCAAGGTTAGGTCTGTAACACTTTCCAAATAACTTCTTAACTGAAGTCCTGGTTGGACTGCTCGAACTACTGCATTAACAATTTCTAGTTCAGAGTATTGTTTTCTAACACCGGCTTCAATTTGGGAAACTAATGATTGATACCCCAACTTATCTTTCTGTCCGGGTTCCCCGACTACACCTTGTATCTTAAAATCTCGGGGTAGCAGACTCTTTTCAAGATTTGCCAATGGTACTTTTATAACATTTTCTGGTTGAACAGGACTCTTCTTACTAACACCTGTTCCCTTTTTCTCTTGAGCCTTTAGTTTGATTTCTTTTTGTTTACTCAACAATTCTTGTATCTTCTCTTCCAATTCTACAACTTCTGATTTTTCCTGGGGTCCCACTTCTGAAACTTCTACTTCTTTCCGGGGGCCCTCCTCTTGATCATCCGGCTCTTCGAGCGGTGGTGGACCAAGAAATACTTTAATACTTTCTATATATGTCACACATTCTGTTTTCTCAGTTAGCGTTCCAACTGTTTCTTCTATAGCTTCCCGTATAACCTTTAGAATCGTAAATCTACTCTTACCTTGAACACTAGATTCGTCTAGCTTTATATTTTGTGCTAACTTCACAATGTCATCCAGCTTTAATGCAAGTATTTCCGACTCCAGTTCCAATAACATTTCTTCAACCTCTGAGTCGGCCATTTTGACTTTTAATCAATGTCACAGTTTTAAATTATCACACCAAAACTTCAAGTAATCAAGTTCAAATGAATAATATAAGCACACAAGTCCCATTCACATTTCCAATTGCAAGTTTTAAACAAGTTCAGTCCATATTATAACACCAATACTTCAAGTAATCAAGTTAAAATGGATAATATAAGCACACAAGTCCCTTTCACAATTGCAAAGTTAAACAAGTTCAGTCCATGCTTCGTAGAAATACAAACATTTCATCGAGGAAACGCCTGTGTTCGCCTCGTATAAACAATTCCACATTCATATACTCACTACAAATATTAGTGAAAATACTCCTCTCGATCGCTTTTTCTCCTTGAATTTTGCTGTAAAATTCCCGCCTGAGCCCCCAAAATGTTACACGGGTTCTTCTTTCGATATATTTTATATTTAAACGTTGACTTAGTTCACTTTAATAGTGCTTTTCGTTTTAAAACTAGCTCAAAAACCATTCTATATTTTAACATACAAAAGCCATGCCGTTTCTCTACATGCGCCCGCGATCAACTTGACCGTCAATGCTCTACTTCGTGTAAACCTAAGTTATTCATCTAACATATACGAAGCGTGTTTTTGAAAGAACGAGGCAACCCTATATATGTACAATTAGCCATAACGCTTTTGTCGTTGGTCTTGTAGGTTTTATTGATATATACGTGGTTTTGAAAGAACGAGGCAACGCTATATATGCACAATTATATTAGCCATAACGCTTTTGTCGTTGGTCTGGTAGGTCTTATTGATATATACGTGGTTTTGAAAGAACGAGGCAACACCGCTATATATGCACAATTGGCCATAACGCTTTTGTCGTTGGTCTGGTAGGTTTTATTGATATATACGTGGTTATGAAAGAACGAGGCAACACTATATTTACACAATTATGTAGGTTAAAAATTAACACCCCCCCCCCTCTCCCCCCATCAACCATCTTCACCATCTAACACCATCTTCACCACCTGACAACAGCTGTTCAGCTGAACCATCCTACACCATCCGACACCGCACTACAAGCGTCTGACAAACAAAGCATCTGACACCATCTTACACCATCTTCACCACCTGACAACCGATGGCTATACTGGACATATATGGCAGAAACCCTCGCCTTACTGACAAAACCATTATGTTCTCTGAACATGAAGTATTGAAAGTAGTTGTCATGGTAACACGATAATTTTAAGAATAGTTTTAAAATTGAAAAATCCCCCCAAAATATCACTTGTAATTACAAAATGATCAATTTCCCAAACATATATATGCTATAGGTATGTTATACGTAATATAAGCTTCAATTTAATGTAAAATTCAACCACAAGTCCACAAGTTTTAAAATGTTCTTAAAACCAAACTGCCTTTTATCGAATTGTCGGTAAACATTGAGTTTGAAATAAACTGATTTCAAATTCTTGCATGAAAATAACTTTGCTTTCTTTTTATTTAAATATTTTAATATACAAAGAAAGGGTAATTAATGAAACTACACTGAAATTATATGCTGTCTTTTTTCACTTATAAGTTATACAGTATACGCAATGATCGTATCAGTTTTTTAAGCAATTATAAAGCAAACAATACATCAACATTAAAAACAAACTTACCTCCATTAACGTCGGCGACTTTGCTCCATTCTTTTAGACGGTTTTTGGCTCTCAAAAAGGTTTTGATACTTTTGAAATTTGCAAAATCTTGCAAAAACACAATATATTTGCAAGAAATGTTTGTTATTTCGCTGTCGTCATTTGTCATACAACAACAAATTTTAAATTTGACCAATCAGTGTTCGCTATTCATGACAATCCGCCACATATTTTGAGATCAGTGAGGATGACCACCCACTCAACATCGTTGGCCACCCACGCCCGCGCTCATTGATGAATTTAGACTTCGCTAGTGCTTTCGTTTCCCTGGGTGTAAATGACCGGGCGGAATTAGCACCCTCGCCCCGGGTTTGCGCCCGGAACGGCGCTACCCCACAGTAGCTATGTTGCAATTGAACAATAAATACTGGTACACATTTTATCAAGATTTTCGGCATCTACAGTCGATAACTAATTTGCAGAAGGTTTTGTAGATGGAAATTGAAAGTGTGAATTTTATTTAGAGCTAACCAGGAAGATCTGCGAAAAATGCAACTATATAGGTCCTCTGGCAGGAATCGGCCTGCGATTACGGTGCATCTGAAATTAGTGAAAATAAAATAGCAGTTTGAGAAAACTGCGGGTCTACGGAGTGCGAGCTTTTCGGATTTGAACTCAGCGTGTTCGAAAGTGTTAGTTCCCGTAAAAAATATTTCAGATCTAAGACATGCTAAATGAGGCACGTTTTCGAGGCACTTTTCCAGGTTTAAAACACACGAAGTATACCACAAAATTTATGGGTTTGCATGCCTCCAGGTCTATCGATCGCCCCCCACTTCATATTGCTGTAGACTGTAGTGTAAACGGTTGTTAACGCATCCGAATACTTGACTCTGGAAACTACTGGAATCTTTCTTGCTAGTGTAAACGAGGTCTTACACTCGGTACTTAAAGGACAATGGCAACAAAAATTTTTATTGTCACATTTGAAAGAACGTTTCAAGATCATCTCTAAAATCTTGTTGCAAATTTTTCATATCTTGCTTGATTCTTAAAATATTTTGACTGAAAGCAAAGAGCTGTCCACCAACATGGATTATTGAGGATATGCACATTACGTCACAAGTGGGCTAACGAAACTTTTTTATCTTGACAGCCTGTGATCAATATGAACCCGAAACTCGTTTTTGGTTGGATTTCACATTTCGAATTGAATAAAAACATCTTAAATTAAACAACTTTTGATTGTCCCCAAGCCAACGACGCGGAGGGCGTTTTCAGAGGTGGTTATGCTCATTATTAAGAAGATAGATTTAAAAAAAAAGTCAGTCGTATAATGATGTCAGTCCGACCACAATTGACGCTGAATGACTATTAATAATGTATCATGGATTGTATAAAGACACCAAAATATAGCAAAAAATTGTGGGGATAATTATATATTTATTCCCACCATCCCCAAATGGCGATATGGAATACAGGTTTTCGGATATAAGCGTTTGAATATTAACCAACAATAACTTTTTCCAAGTTCAGTTGTCGGATTAGGAGAAAGTGACAACTCTCTTTTAATATATTGAACAAAAGCTAAAGAAAGCTAGGTATAATCAAGTGAAGAAGTGCCTATAGTGCGTCCGGAAAAGGTTTCAGAGTGACCGTTTGCAGAGGATACTGTTTTGCACGATTATCTCTGAATGATTCGCAAGGTTGTGAATTCAAAGTCTCAAAGTTTCGGATGGAAGATTTTCGGATACGACTGAAAATCTAAAAGCACAGATTCGAGTTAATCTAATTTTTGGAGTCGTGTTCGAAAACGAAGCTCTAACGTTTAGTTTTATGTGAGGAATCAGGAATGGCGGTGCAAGAACCCGGAAACGTAGGTCTAAGGTTTAGTTTGACGAAGGAATGGCGGAATGAATTATTTCAATGATATAGTCGGCAGTATTGTTTTTACTTTTTGGCCAAAGTATTTTTTAGCCAGTATTTTTTTAACTTTTTTTAAACTTTTTTGAATTTTGTCCAGTATTTTTTTAACTTTTGAGGCCTTAAAACAAATAACAAGACTCAAGCGTATTTTAAAACTTTTTAAAGTTACAATTACTTGCGCCTAAATTAAAGTTGTTATATATCATAGCGCATAATAGAGACCTTACGATTTAGGACGGCAACCCGACGGCAACGGCTACCAATACAATAAATCATTGAAATAATCACAATATATGAATATTTTAAACATTGTCCTCGCTATGTTTACGCCAAATCACAGATTTTCACGTCTTAATTGATACAACAACTGCATTTCAAGCCGCAACAAGTGCAACCTCAAACTGGGTTCAGCAGAACTGTTCCCAAACATAAAATCCATGTCTTCAACTTCTATAAGACTGTATTAAATTCATACGATTGATAATATACGACGAATTATCTTTACTACCATTTATTTGAAGGAGTTTGTTTTGGCCGTCGTCGTCGCGTTGCCGTCCTAAAATCGAAAGATTTCTAATATCAAAGCAAACCAAACGGAACAAAAGCGCGAAAATTCTTAAATGAGCCCGCGGTGCCGTGCAATGACTGATCAGCGACGTGGCCATTGATGTCTGATGTCTCGCTATTTATAGGTTATGGTCAGCGGTTGGGGTTAGCGTAAGGTTATAGGGTCAGCATATTGAGAACATAAGACATGAATCTATAACCTAGATTTCTGAAGAAGAATGTTATTGACCGCCACAATTTTGTTGGTTCAACGTGCGGTCAAAACTTTGCAACTGACTAAATTTTGTAACATTCTCGCAAAATCGTCACAAAAGGCAATGCCAGTAATGCAGTATACATAAGTACACATCTATATATAATCTATTTGACATAACAACGATATTTTCAACATGCATTATAAGTACGTCTCGACCAGACTTTTCGAGTGGCAATCTATGGAACGGCTGCCTGTAGTTTTTCAAATCATAAATAAAAGATTACATTTGGGCTAAGTGTTTCTTGAGTTTGATAACGGAATGATTTGCATATGAAAAGTAAACAGTTTAGTGTCCGAATGTTTTGTCTTCGTTTTCATTATGTTTAACGTTATATAGAACATTTAGGAAACCCGCGCTCACCTCGTAAATGTATGAATAAGAATTTCCCGCCACAAGAAAACATGGTGTGTTAAAATGCTATTCAAAGTCCGGTTGCTGTTTGATCTTTAGTCTAAAAAACACGTGCAGGTGGTCTTAGAAGACAATCCTGTTTTATGCTTTTTGATCGTGTTTGGCGAAGGTAAACGCCGGTATTAACAAAACTGTACATAATAATGCTTAATACCAATTGAATTTATCAAAGTTCAAGAATTTAGAAGCAATAGCATAGCATATAGAACTATCGTTTCTCTGGTAGGAACTTTTTATTTTCACAGACAAATATAATACAGACACTTGCATGTTCATATTTCTATAATAACAATTTTAATTACGCACAATGTTTATCATTTCACATGTCTGGAACTCGTCTGTTCGGTTGGACGAAATGTAATTTTATAAGCGATAAATTGAAATTTTTAGTAAAAACAGTGGCATAACAATGCTCAGATTTCAGATTAACCGTCCGGGCAAGCGATTAATTCTTCCTTGCGAAGCCTTGAACTGTGCGCGACTTAAATATTCATGAGATGAATGATTTCTGACACCGCGTCAGTTCAGCACTGTCGTTTCTCTCGACCTCAAATTGGAAATTTAAACGCACTCTTTGCTTTAGGCGCTACGGCAGATAGTGCGAAAACCTAAATAATGGATTTGACTTTGAAATAACCTCTAAATCATTATTCTACATCAATGCCTCTTTAGATTACTGAAGGAACTTCGGATTTGCCGGCGAATTTCACATCTTCCGAGCATGTAATGGATAGCAGACTAGGATCACGTCCAACCCACAGCTCACGACTAAACGCAGATGGGCCAAACAGTGAGTATATTTACACAAACGGCGAAATTCATCATGGAAACGCCGATGACAGTCGTTCTCGTTCGGACAGGAGTTTCCTCAGGGCACAGCAAAAAGCTGAAGAGGCCTTAAATTTTAGTAAACAAGCTAGAACGGGCGAGATAACCAATGGCCCCACGTTGCCGAAATTCACTATGACACTCGTGGACGATGAAACACCGCTGCCGATAACTTCGGGACAAACAAGCCCGCGTCAAAGCGAAGCTGAACTTCCAGTGAGGCTATTCAAAGCCGACATATCGGAAAATAAACCGCCGTCTTATGATAGCAGTCATCACAACACGAAGTCGAGGGAGATACCTATTGAGTTAAAGTGCTCAATGTGCCAACGTGAATACAGCGAACCGCGGCTCTTGCCGTGTTTACATAGCTTTTGCTATCGCTGTTTGGAAGAGGAGGTTTCGCATCGCACGGAGAACCGAATACGCTGTCCAAAATGTCAGAGGGATTTCGATTTGGAGGTGAGTTTAGAAGAATGTTTTCCTTTATAACTACGTTCATACTACTAACACAGCACGAATTCGTCCGATTCCATTTGTTGATACTGGAAATCGTACGACACTCGACAGCTATGAAGGCTATGTTATATACAAAGCAATATATTTGTTGCAACATACAACGCAATTTCTGTCATAAAATCATATATATATATCATGTATTAACAAATATAGTGGCCATTTATTTCATTTTTGTCTATTAAAAGTATGTTATGTAAATAAATTTCGGCAGAGTAGAATGCGAGCCCATCTGACAATTTCCCTCCGGCTACCTTTTTAAATAATATGGATTAGGTCTCTGTATCCGAAATTACGTTGCAACTTGTAGCAAAAGTGTGTAACTTGGCTATACTTGTGCCCGGATCCGAACTCGAAAAGCGAAATCATACAAATTTGCATACGATTTGAATTTATCCTCGGTTCTCGCGTGGGAACCCATGGCCAGAACTCAAGTTTAACTCCAGAATATGTATTTAATTGTTCACTAAAATATCTGTTTTCACAAAGCAAGCGGTTGAAAGAGAACTATTTTCAACTAAGCTGCCGTTGTTTGAGTATGAACTTTATCTATCTGAAAGACTCCTGGCAGAAACTATATTAACGGCTGCTTATTGTAGAATTCTCCCGAATCACGTTCGGGTCTTCTCCGAAACCGCTATCTGTAATGTTATTGTCATAATTATGATCTATTTTAGTGATTCGAATATTCATGTTAGTCTGTGTTTTTAAAATTAAGGTAAAGTTAGTTACACGAGGCCAATTTTGCTGCAACTTGCAGCCCAATTTCAGAGAGGGAACCATGCTGTATGTAAAAAGTAGTCGATGGTAAATTGTGAATATGCATGACCGGCATCCGATTCCACCGACACTTTCTGTACATTGAATACCCAGTGAAAATGAAAGAAACAGGATGAAATTGTTGACAGAGTAAAGAGTGTGCCATGCTCATTATTTCCTTAGCACGTGGGTGTTCCAAAATAGTTGAATCTAATTTTCAGACATTTTTAAGACTCATTTCAACGTAAGTTGAACCATTGTTGGCTAAAGTCCCTTAGACGTTTTTGAATACAGACTGCAGTGTTTTAAGTTTCGATCAAAGCTTTCAAAAAAAACTGGTTGTAGCAGCGCTGTATTGATTCGTATTCGATGTTGTTTAATATCACTTGACACATTTAGTATCGTTTGTAAACATTTGTACGTCCAAACATCGATGATATATTTTGCTTTCTCGAGCATAAGAATATACACTACAATATCAATGAGCCAAATACAATCCAATAAGTAGTATGTTGTAACTGTATAGCACGTGACAACTTCAGTCCCTATATGGCGCTCAGGAATTTTCCTCAAGTTAAAGCCAGACAAACAGCTTATCAAGTAATTATCGCAACTATAAAATAGTCGATTGTCTTTTGTCCGATAGTCCAGACAGTTTTCTTTTTGTGATGATAAACTTGGCCAAGTCTGGATTAGATTAAGATTTTTGCTCGATAATACGTTGCCCCAACATTTAAAGTTTGCGGCGTTTTAGTCTTGTCTGATGGTCAACAACGTTTAGCTAGTGCTTGTTACAAGTGCATGTTAGCAGAATGCAGAGGTCCATAAACATTTTCCATTGTGAACATGCACTATAGTACGGGTGTTGCTTGGTAAGAAAAAGATCATGCTTGATTCTTTTACTATTGGTCATCTTGAGTACTATAAAGCCCTGATTCCATGGGGGCGCTTTTTCTCGGCGAAATGCGAAATATTTCGCCTGTTTCTTTTGAATTGTGGGCAATCAAGTAGAAATAATTTATTCGAGTGGTCACAATTCAGAAGAAACAGGCGAAATATTCCGCATTTCGCCGAGACAAAGCGCCCGTGGAATCGGGCCTTAACACAATTTGCGGCAATGAGTGTTTTAATAAAATACGGTACAACTATATAGAAACTCCGAAAATATTCATTTTAATATAATTCAATATTATAATAATAACCATGCACTGAGGTATGAAAAATAATTTGGATTGAGACTTACATGTCAATTATTGAAAACTTTAAATTAAAGTCCTTTATGGTTTCTTATGACTTGTACAGTAAAAGTCATGAGGTTTTGCCACTGCAATACTTGTGACGTCATAGATCCCTGATCTTTGATATGTAAATGAGCTGCATACTGATATGTAAATGAGCTGCATGCATTATTTAATGGTTAAAGGCCATGCATGTTACACGGTGCAATTTTTCTTGCAACTTGCAATGCAATTCTACTCTTGTGAGATGTAAAATTGCCAAATACGAGTCTTCATCACACTCCGCTGATGTTTTCTCAACATATCGAAAATTCTTCACTGATTTCACTAATTAACATCTCTCAAGAGTAGAATTGCATTGCAAGTTGCAAGAAAAATTGCACCGTGTAACATGGCCTTAAGAGTTGTTATATACCAACTGATAATGTCTAAATGTGCCCAGGGCCGCCGAGGGGGGGGGACAGGGGGGGGGATTGCCCCGAGGTGCTTGGGGCCCCTGAAAATTTTTTGTTGGGCCCCAGTCTTTTTTGTGTGTTAAATATTTCCGCGCAACGGACAAGATATCTTTTTTCTTGGGCTAAGTACCGAAATTTGGCATAAAAAATGAGATAAAGTCCCTGGAAAGCAATTGCAGCGTACTCGTCCGGAAAATTTTTTACTCCGGAAAATATTTTTTACCCCTAAAATGGTACACTGACATTAAATTTTTTGGCGACGGGGGGGGGTTGTTCTCCGGAAAAAAAATTTTTCCTGAAAAATTTTTTGGATAGGAGGCCACAAAAATTTGCCCCGGGCCCCCGCCAACCTCTCGGCGGCCCTGACTTGATGTCCTACGTGAAACTAAACTACGTGTCCTACTTTGGTTTTGATAAATGTAAATCATGAAGCAAGTAAATATGAAAATCATGCAACCTACACAAAACAGTGTTTTCTGGAGCAGATAACACTGTTTCCAGCAGGTTGAGCAAGCGGAATGTAATTTTTTAGCAAGCGGAAATTTTAAACACAAGAATAAAAACAAGAAAAAATAACATGAACGAACGGCATTTTTGTGAATATATTTTTGTGCAAAAAGTTTTATTTTTAGACATTATTTTTGTGAATATATTTGTTTGAATGTTATTTTAAAATTTGTGCATTTTTGACATTTTTATTGGTACTTTAGCATCAGGCAAATAAGTTTTCTAATATTTTTATGCTAAAGTTATTGTGATATTAAACATAGTTTTCACTGCTTTTCTTGAGAACCAAGCGTTGTTTTGTGTGTACAAATAATTGTTTAATTAAAGGTGTTTAGTGAAAATGCAATGTATAATAATAAAAACAGTTGTTGAATTTGCTTTTGTAATATCCCAAATTATCAAGGTCTCGGTAAGTGTTCTCAGTCTCGCCATTAATTCGCACTTATGAAGTTATGGACTTATCTCGACCTTAATAAATACGGATATCACAAAAACCTCATCCAGTACTGACTGTCTCTACATCGATTTTCAATTTTAGCGTTTTCTCAGCGTGAAAGGTTTGCCACCAAACTTCGTCGTGACCACATTGATAGATAAAGCAGCATTGGAACGTTTCGAGCTGGAACCGGTTTCCTGCAGTAGCTGTGAGGAAAAACTGCCTGCAACTGTGCGCTGTACGGATTGTATGGACTATCTCTGTTCGACATGTCATATTGCACATCACAGATTGAGATTAACTAAAGGTCACCAGGTAGGAGTCATGTTATTTTATTTTCCGGCTGCGAGTTCAGATGGGGGTAACTGTGACGGAGGGCGATTCTTAAAAGCGGTCTGAAACCTTCACGGATTTTACAGTCAAAACACAAGATCTAGAACCTTCCCGCGCTTCCACTTATAGGCCTACTTTGGGGGTAAAGGTCGCCTAATTTCGCATAATGTCGCCTAATATCGCCCATGTGCATCCAATTTTTGAACTTTGCCTAACAGTCTATTTGCTTAATGTCGCCCATACAGTTTCGCCCAGCGATGCATACTACTTTTCTTTGAAAATTGCCAATGTTGCCTAATGTCGCACAATTTTGCAAATAATAACGGCGACCTTGGCCCCCAAAGTAGGCCGGCCTACTTATGCAGACTGTTTCTGTATATTTCTTCTGTATTACTGTAGCAGTTACAAAATAGCGAGGCTTAATCTAGTACGACGGCTAATAGCCTAATACAATGAAATTCATAATATTGTAGAAAGAAATTATTATAATTAAAAGCTCGCGGGA